CATGTACTTTATGGAACACAGTGCAGGCTGTTCACCCCCGTGGCTGACCAGGGGCCACCGCTCGCCGCCACCCAGCATCACAAGACAGTATCGCGCCACATACCGCTAGCCTGGGAAAAGGTCAACATTCAAATTCAAAGTACAATTTCTACTGAATGCATATTGCTTTCACACCACCATAAAGTCAAAAATCTTAAGTCAAACCATCATTAAGTTGAGGACTATCTGTATATTAACTGTTGAATTTACCCTCAAAGCCCTCTGTGGAAGGTGTTAATTCTAATGGCCATTTTACAAACTGGGAAACTGAGCCAGTCTATTTAACCTCTCTAGAGCCTCTAAGTCACATTAGTAAGTGACAAAGCAAGGCTCCATCCACCCACTTTCCTCTCTCCTTTATCTACTAACTCACTAACAATTCTGGTCAAAGACCTGCGAGAGCTGGGGAGGGATGGTGCTGACCACCAAATAAAATCTAAGATTGCTGGAACACACACAGTTATTAAACGCCAAGCTTTAATGCTGTAAGATTAAGTCTCAAATCCAGCCCATCACCGAAATGATTGCTAATGATGACTTGATTTTTCTCCTCAAGTAGGGAGAAAAATTTGTACTTATCACTAATTTATGGTCAGCTAAGAATAGAGTATTAGCCTCAGCAGACATTAGAATTACATAATTTTGTGATATAATACCTGAAGTTTTACCAGGTTCTGTTGTAGGAAAAGTAACAGTCTTATTTCTTATTTCAACTTTTGTGGAAGGTGGTTTTGTCATTGGTTTTGTCAAATGACTAACTGAAGGCTCAGATACTGGGGGAAGAATCCCGAAAGGTTTGGAGGCCAAACGAGTTAAAAGTTCTTCTTGAGTCAAATCTTCTCGAACTTGAACTTTTACAATTTTCTGAAATGAAACAAATAAAGGAAAAAGACACAAATGTAGCTATCATTTTAAAAGAAACAATTCCTATTTTTAAATTATAATAGAGAAAAGAAAAGCCAAACAAATGAAACACTAAGGAATTTAGAAATTAAAGTTTATTCAGATGTCAAACACAGTCAATCTCTGACTCTACCTACCTCCCCTCCCCCATCACCTTTTTTTGAAAGTAAATTTTACAAATGAGCAATGGCTTCATGGCCCCACTCTGCACCCACCCCTATCCCTCAACAGAATCATTCTGATCACTATGGAAGAATTCAGTACTAAATGCTCTAATGAAATAAACCTAGTCAGGCTCAAAAGGACAAATATAGTCACCCCTCAGTATCCATGGAGGATCGGTTCCAGGACCCCCAAGGACACTAAAAGCCATGGATGCTCAAGTCCCTCATATAAAATGCTATATAGCACTTCCATATAAACTACACACATCCTCCCATAGGCTCTAAATCATCTCTAGATTATTTATGGTACCTAATACAATGTAAATGCTAGGTAAATAGTTGTTATATTATATTTTTATTTGTATTTATTATTTTTCCCCCAAATACTGGGTTAGTTGGTTGAATCCGAGCATGCGGAACCCATGGATACAGAAGGCCATTATACCTTCATATGATTTCTGGAATGTAAGTGCTAACGAGAATTATGAAACTGAAGCTACAAAATAAGAGATATGTTGCTCAAAAAAAGAAAAACAACAGTTTTAAAAGTACCTTCTGTCCATTGTCACAGTGTACATAAATCAAACCACTCCACGGGAACACTGACTGTTTTGTGGATAAGGAGGAATTAGGACTCACAAGAATTTGTAGTTTACTCCTTAAAAAAAAATTTAATAATGAAAATCAAAAATATTCTGTACTTTAATAGCAGTAATCATAAGAGTCATAAATACCTTCTGCCAACGACCAACTATGTCCTTATTGTTCGGAGAGAGCAGGAGCGGAGGTCAGCACCCACGGTGCCAACACACAGCTCATCTGCCTCTCTCCCTGACTCAACAGCTAAGGAAGCGCTGCCTGGCACGAACCCACGCCCAGGGGCAAAACTCATGTGCAAATAAGCCACGCCACAGAAATACCATTTTCAAGGCAATTCAAAATAAAAATTTGATCCACTTGATAATAAAGAATATTATAAAACAGTCACAGTCAAAGAGAATGTATTAATAGTAGTTGGGGAAGAAGCTGGAGGAAAAGGAGCGGGAGACGGAAAAGAAATGAAGAAAATAATTTGTTTCTTTACAACCCAGTTGCTAATATTTTCTCTGCTCAGTGTTCTCCTCAAGAGCCACGGGAAGCCAAAGACAGGTTTAAAATGGACAATGTGATCAGATTTGTAACTTAAAAGAAATCACCAGCTACAAAAATGGCAGGGCAAGATTTTTTACCACTGCTAATTGTTAAACACGTGGGGCTGCAGAAAAAGTTACTTGTGAAAAACCTGTTCTGTTATCTCCCTATCTTTTCAAACATTAGTTGAGAAGGGTACGTTGCACGTAATAAACACTCAGATTTTAACTGATGGCTCCAGAGTGTCCCTCACCATACCTTAGCTCATAGTCTTGGTCAAGTAAACTCCCCTAAGTAAACTCCCACTCATCATTCTGTTGTCCTTCTGCAAAGTTGCTAATCCCAAATATGAAGGAGCTTCCAGACGTGAGAGTTGTGTCGACCTAGACGAGGTCTCTGAAAAGCTGTGGCGCTGTGGCTTCCCTCCTATCAACCACTAGGCTGTGTGCAGAGGGCAGCTATGTATAAATGGCTGGCACCAAGAGACTTCCTTCTGTCTTAAAATACTATGTGTAGAAAATGGTAAAACTGGATTATGGCTTGGACATATTAAAAGTCAGGGAGCTTTGTCTGAAAAAAATGTCCTTTGGACACACCAGCAGAATATACGATCCAAACCAAGATAAAGAACAGTAGAACTGTTGAGGCTTTAGACACATCATGGTCCCTATCCCTCAACACATGCCCAGTTTTATCCCTGCTTCGTAGTTCTGTGGGCAGAGTACTACACATACAACATTCTGACGTGTTCTGCTCCAGGGACTCTGTTCTGCCTCTACCTTCTTAGGTTACACCATAATTGGCCGTGTGTATGACCTCTACTCCACTAAATGGCACGCACCCTGAGCTCACTGCTGTCCTGCAGAACCAAGCAAATGCTTTGTACAGTCAGCACATGCAAAATTTTACCGAGAAAGTTAATATAACATATTATGTGACCCATAGAAAGTCACCAAGATAGCATCTAAACAACACTCAGAAGAACACAGAAATCATACTTACTCTGGTGCAACAAATCCATGTTGTGGTGTGACTGTAAGACAATGTGCTGGCCAGCACAGCTCAAATTTCAGCAACCTAGCAGAATTATTTACAATCTGGAAACACGCAGTTTTTGCCATGTCGCCTGTTATACCAGACAAATAAAATGTTATTTACATTTAGCAACAGTGAAAAACACAAATGTTAACAAATGATAAAAATGAATCCTAAATAAATACACTAGTATGCTAACTTATGTTGCTCTCCCAATTGCTCAATTACAGGAATTTCAAATCCCTGGTAAAGGAAGTCCATTGGTTTACTATGGGAAACTACAAAGATACCGACAATCTTGAACGAAGTTAGGCAAAAATGAGAATCTGGAAATTGTTACCCCCTGGCCTTAACTGTGGCACATGTGTGTGTATCAGATTCGTTCCAACCCTGAACCAACTCTATCAGTGTTAAGGGTACTAAGAGGCCAAGTGCTGAATGAGCTCTTTGGGACCCTGGCTGAGCAGGGTGGCCTCACGACAAGGGTGAGCTCCGGCGGGGGGAGCAGGCCCTGGGCGAGGCACGAGTCCACACGATTCCCACGGGAGCCGCAGGAACAGGGTGAGTGCTCCCGGCCCCCAGCACACAGTCTGCGGTGCCGCTGTCAATATACTCACAAGGAGAAGGAGCTACCAAAATCAGGTGTTCAGGCTGGACGGTCCACATCTCTCCAGAGGCTGATTTATCCTGAGGGGGGTGAGCAGCTTGTGAGAGAAGAGAACCTTGAGGACCTCTAACTGGTAAAACATCCAAAGAGACATTGCCACTATGTTTTCCAGAAGTTCTTGAGTCACTAGAAAAATTTAAAAATGGAAGTCAGAGAGAAAGAGACAGAGAAAAGAAATTAAAAATGATCAAAGTGCAGACTGTGTCACATTTTTATATTAATTCTTCATAAATCTAAAAACATTAAGACAAAACTAGAAGTGCATTATATACCATGTATTTTCAGTGAATAAAAATCCTTCATGTTGTGGATACTAAAAGAGTATATAAAATATACAGTATAGGTCAAATAGTATGATAAACTTTAATTAGGTTTAAGAAAATTTAATCAGGAAGAAAATTTAATTTAGTTAGGTTATTAACAGAATAAAAGTGATACAAACATTTTGAGACAAAATAATAATAAAGTACAGGGGAAAAATATGAGCTGTACTATGAATCAAATAATCTTGAGATCTGGTGAAAGATTTTTGTTTGTTCAACTTACCTTTTAGATTCCAAACTAGCTTTGGAAGAAGACTGAAGAAATTCTCTGCTAGAAATGCAATCTCTGAATTCTCCAATTACTGAAAGAATAATTTTACACATGTTTCCATAAAAAAGTTGAACATCATTAGGCCGCTGGGGAAGATCATACACTGAAATAGAAAATAAGGTTTTGAAATACATGAATCTTCACATAAGCATACCACCAAGTAACAGATATATTTATATATTTATAGCCACAGAATATTCTTTTCTTAGGTTGGGGTAAGCGACATTTGATTATTAGCACTACTGACTGGCATGAAGTTACAGACAGGTCAGCATCAGCGGCTGGCAGGTCAGGCTCTGAGCCTGAATTTGGGCCCCCTCTTGCCACTCATTAGCCCTGTCACCTTTGGCAAATTCCTTAACCTCTCTGAGCTTTAGTCTCCTCAACTGTAGCATAGGGTAACAATCTATAATATCTCAGGGGTTGTTGTGAGCATTAAAATAAGAACATTTTTCAAGATACATATGACAACAAACATTTATATAAAGTTAACTGTGGGCCAGGCACTATTCTAATCCCTTTATATATATTCATTTAATTTTCAGAACTCTTTGAGGCAAGTACTATTATCCCCACTTCAAAGATAAAAAATCTGAAGCACAAAGAGGTTAAGGGTACACACTTTATGAATGGCAGTCTCATAGAAATTCAACTTAAGCAAATGTAGAAACCAGGCACTATTAATACAATTATTTCTAGATTAATAAAATAGTTCCCAGATGACATCTCTAGGTTAGGCCACGCCCAAATTTGTGTACATATGATACTTTATAGAATATCTTGTATTCTACATAAAAATTAGATAATCTTTAAGTATATTTTTTTTATTTCAGCATATTATGGTGGTATAGATGTTTATTAGGTTACATACATTAAGTATCATATATTTTTAATAGGAATTTTAAAAGAACACAGTAACTGTACATTTAAATTTATATTAATTTAACCAAGACATGTAACAATAAAAGTTTAACTCAACTGTGAAAATACCGCCACAAATTACACATTTTGCCAAAGATCATTACAAACACTTGTAACAGTAATATGCTCAAGCAAATGCTATTCAAAACAATCACCCTGAAAAGATCACCTGTGACACTCTCCTAGGTGATCTATGGTACTAACCAACACAAAAAAAGTGGGTTATTTCCTCCATCCATCTGTACAATAATTATACCATCTCAAGGAATCCTGAGATGAAATTCAGTCCCAACTCAACCCCATCTTAGAGGGGTGATCTTGGCAGGTTATTTGAGTTCTTGGTTGGGTTTGTCAATACAACCCTTAACATGATACATTTCTTGAATTTTTGGACATGCAGTTCCCTCCATCTGGAAGATTCTTCCCCACCCTGGTCCCATCTTCTCCACCTTGTCAACGCCTCCCCTTTCTTCAAAACTAGCTCAACAGTCATCTCATTCTACATGAGGTGCCCTTTCTCTGTGCCCTCCCAGATTCCCACACACAGCTCTATCACGGCACTTTCCATACTACACCTTAATCATCTGTCTTCCCCTTCGTCAGTAAGCCCCTCACAGACAAGGACAGCATCCTGTGCCCATAAATCCCAGTGTCTACACACCAACGGGCACCTCGTCCCCTCAGTATGCATCCATCAATCAATGAATGGTCTGTTGCTGAATCATGGAACTATGCCAACTTCTAAACCACTACAAACTCTTGCTACTGATTTTTATTCACAATCTTCACCACAGTTGCAATGAGTTACTAAGTATTAGTGTTCCATCTCCGTAGCACAGTTCAGTCTAACTTTTATTTGGATCCCTCCCATGAGGAAGAGGTCAGGGCTGTGGCGGTAGAGATGGGTCTTGAATTAAGTTCAACTCTGAATCCAGGGTTCTTTCCCTTGCTTTGCTTCCTTAGTGCACTGCTGACAAGTCCATTCCAAGTCTGTCTGCTCATCATTTTCAACTAGCCCATCTCTGCCTTCCCTTTGAGCAGATGATCTAGACTGTGAATTTACTGGAAAGATTACAGACTACTCTACATCACCCCTACCAAGGCATAAATACTCATTCCTTTATCATTTCAGAAACAAAATATATTCCATCATTTAAGGACTAGTAAATAAAAATAAGAGTAACAAACTACCACCTAAAATTCTACCACCAAAACATAGCCACTTAATATTTTGGTGCATATACTCCCATGATTTTACTTAAATAAATACATATATATATATAAATTATTTTTACCAAAATAAGATTTTACTATACAAACTTTTAAAACATTTTTGTAATAAATAAAGAGCTTTCCATGTCATTTAGTATGTGAATCCATATCATTGTTCTAATGGCTTCAAAATATTCTACTGCATAATTTAACAACCCCCTAATTCTTGGGCATTAAAGTTACTTCTAATGTCTTGTTATTATAAACAATGCTGGGGAGAAAATCTGTACATATATTTTTACATAATTTGTATATCTCCATACATGTATTTTGTATGAGTAATAAAAACTATTAAATATTTGAGCCATGTAACTCAAATAAGGATAATCATCTAGGTTACAGTCACTTCATTACTGTTTATTTTGGATTTTTTTTACCACCATCACACCCCACATAAATCTTACGATAGCATAGAAACTTCAGTTTGAGTGTAAGTCTGCAATCAAATCTTAAAGAGTGTTAATTTGGGACTTGTTTTTTTTTTTTTTCTTTGAGACAAGGTCTTGCTCTGTCACCCAGGCTAGAGTGCAGTGGCCTCATTATAGCTCACTGCAGCCTCCAACTCCTGGGCTCAAGCAATCCTCCTGACTCAGCCTCCCAAGCAGCTAGAACTACAGGCAAACACCACCACACCCGACTAATTTTTAAATTTTTTTGTAGAGACGGGGGTCTCACTCTTGCCTAAGCTAGTCTCAAACTTCTGCCCTCCAGTGATTCTTCTCCTTGGGCCTCCCAAAGGGCTAGGATTACAGATGCGAGCCACTGTGCCCAGCCTAATTTGAATTTAATAATGACCATTCTCCTGTTTATAAGCCTACCCAGAGACTAAGCACAGTAAAGTATTAATAACATCTAACATTTGTATAGCAAAGCCTTTTCATCTGATCCTCATAAAAACTCTGTATGTATAAGAAGCTAGATATCATTCTTCTTCCCATTTTACAGATAAGCAAAGAAAATTACAGTGACGTAATTTGTTCAAATTCATATAGCAGACCTGTGGTTCAAACACGGCCTGATATCATATCCAAACTTAACACTTTTCCTTCTTATGTTATATCCCTGGACCTAGATAATACTATAAATGACTCAAAAGATTTAAGACATGAAGACACATTGAAATTCTTACCTTCAGTTACTAGTAGCTCATCTTGAAATGTTTCAGCAAAATTAATGTTTTGCAGTACACTATGTTCTGGAAGTATCTGCTTTATAATCTCTGGTTTATGCAACAGGGCTCTGCCAGGAGAGGTTTTTATTCAAAAGTTATTTTAAATATAAAATGACTTTAATTAGATTTTCATTATTATATTTGGCAAATCCCACTAATAGCATGACACATTAATACACAGATCTACCTAAAAGAAAACTTGTTTTGGAAGTTCCCTTAAAAATTACACATGATAGTAAAATCACCAGTTTTAGTTAAATATTAATATCAAAATGAACTTCCTAATACAAAAGTAAAAAGAAGAGTAAAATCAGATTTTTTTTTCAGGTCTTTCATTTTCAATGTTTGTGATAATTTGGTCATACTTTGAAATTTGTCTCTGGAAAAAAAAAATGCTAAAACACAATAAGACTCAGAGGGAAATACTTAAATTACCATATGACTACGAATATCTGGGCCTCTTCCAGAGAATCTTTGAAGTGAGAAAACGGAAATGTAAATTTCTCTATAATACTCAGATGTCCACAAAGAAAAATCTAATGACTGTAATGTTACAGCAAAGACGAGTTTTAAAACAATACATTGATTTCTATATCCAAAGAAAAACATCAGAATACATGGTAATCTCATTTCCCCAAATGTCAGTTATTTCTGAAATATTTAATTAAGAAACAAAACCAGGTTCAAAGTTGAGCTCTTCGTATTTGGTCTGTTCTAACATCATGTAGCAAGTCACCATTACACTCCCCCTTTTTAAACATTCCAATGGTCTCCAACAAATTAAGAAGAAAACTATTTACCAATTTCTGTATCAGCATAAAACAGAGCAGAGCACGAAGGGTCAGAAGAAGGAAAGACTGATGTATTCATCTATACCTTTTCTAATGATTTCCTACTGACGCATGAAACGTCATGACCTTCACTTATATTTAGGTCTTCTAATCTAGGAAACCAAACTTTATAATAAAAGAATCCAGAATTCAATACACAAGAATATAACTTACGTTTAAATCATACCTAAACCTAAATCAATACTCAAAATATGCCAATCGTTCAGCATATTAAACTAAATTTAAATTAGATGTATCAGATTTTATAAAAGTACATGTTTTAAGTAGCTACAAGATAAACATCTTACACATTTCTAAAACACTACTTGATCCTTTCAAATAATTCACAGTATTCCCAGAAAAATTCTAAATTATGCAGGTGTGTTGATACAGTATAATCTTTCAGTAGTTCTTACATCTTTTCTAAACCGATCTACTGTTCCTTGATATACCCTTGAGAGTACATTATGAACATGGTCCTGTTATGAAGTATGATGCTCCTATTGAGTAAAGGAAAAGAGGCACAATACATACATGTTTGGAAAAGAAGGCATATTGTAAGGAAATACAGGAGATGAGTTTCCTACGGGTATTTCTTCCACACATTACAGCAGCTTATCAGCCACACAAATTTTACCAAGGTTTTCATCTACCAGTTCACTAACAGTGAAACATGTTCTAAAAATTCCAAACCCCAAACCACTTAAATCCTTATTATTTCTACTGAACAGTTCCCCATATTGTCTAACAAAAGTAATCTACCTTCGATACTGCTGTCTTGAGATTTCGTCTCCACCAAAGAGGTATACAGTTGACAGTTCTGTTGCAGTTTTATAATTGCTCTCTCTGTCTGATGGATTATATATTAAAGTAACATCCTGATGCCAAGGAAAAAGACCAAGATTAAATATTAAATATTTTTCTTGAGTAAGTCATTTCATTCTGAATAAAATCTTATGAGCCTAAACATTCAATGTAGATACAAGTGCATATGGATGGCATTTCCAACAAGACCAGATAAGCACTTCCCCTTTTACATTACTTTAAATATCGTTTTAGCTTTTGGCCATAAAATACATAATTATTAATCCAATCTAAAAATGAGTTCCTGTTTTTAGTGCAGACACTTTTACACTTACTTCTTGTGTTCTTTCCTTGAGCACAAATTTATCTGGAAAAATCCTCAATATTTTAGGATCCAGCAAAACCTTTTTCTGAGAATCCTTAAAACCGACTGCTTTAACAAAAGCTGCTCGAGAGCCAGTGTTGCGGACAGAAAAAACAATTCTACTTTCTTTGCCAGGTATTAAGTCATTCGCTGTTACCATGTAACTGTCAGATAATTTTTTAACACCTTCCAAAATAAGATTACTTGTTCCTCCATATCCAGACAAAGGTATCTGAAAGAATATACACATCCAAAATTATTTTTATGTAAGTAGAAAGCAGAAAATTGAATTATAGTCAGAAGAAAATGTAGAAAGATTTAATACAATTAAAAATGTCACTGTTTGTATACTTTGGCTAGGAGTTACCCCACATCCAGTCCAGCATTATATTAAGAACTTGGTCTTAAAAGGAAAACACACCAAAGAGCTACAAAAAACTATTTGCCTTCTGATAATGCTATGAATAATTATTTCATTGTCATAAAAGCCAAGCTTAGATGACAGAGAAACAATAGTAAAAAGATTAGTCTAGATACGCTTGCTTAGGAAGTTTTCAGGGTGAAATACACTGATGTTCGTAATTTTTTTGAAATGCATTAAAAAAACCAGATGAACTGATGGATGGTTAGATATGAGGGAAAAGAAATATAGCAAAATGTTGGCCAGGTGCGGTGGCTCACGCCTGTAATCCTAGCTCTCTGGGAGGCCCAGGCGGGCGGATTGTTTGCGCTCAGGAGTTCGAAACCAGCCTGAGCAAGAGCGAGACCCCGTCTCTACTAAAAATAGAAAGAAATTAATCGGACAACTAAAAATATATAGAAAAAAAAAAAAAAAAACTAGCCGGGCATGGTGGCGCATGCCTATAGTCCCAGCTACTCGGGAGGCTGAGGCAGGAGGATCGCTTGAGCCCAGGAGTGTGAGGTTGCTGTGAGCGAGGCTGACGCCACGGCACTCACTCTAGCCCAGGCAAAACACTGAGACTCTGTCTCAAAAAAAAAAAAAAAGAAAAGAAAAGAAATATAGCAAAATGTTAATTGTAGAATCTAAGTGACAGGGTATGTGGGTGTTTGTTATATAATTCTTTCGACTTCTCAGTAATTCTGAAAATTTTCATAATAAAATGTTTTGGGGAAAAAAAATCTATTATCATATAATCTTCTTAGTGTTTGGTCTAGCCAGTGTCAGAGAGAAGCATGTAAAAGAAACTAAACTGATGACAAGAACTCCGACAACTCTTCAAGAATAGATACACTGGCAACCCGGGGAGCAACAGACTAGACCAGGCGTTGGGATACCATCTGCTCCTGCTTCCCCAGGGCTCCAAGGAAACAAAGGTGCATGGAATATATCCCATAAATAACAATGTAAGGAAAATACTCACCCTGCTAGAAAGGAAACTCTCCATACTCTTTAAAATGTATATCTTTAAAAATTATCTTTCAATCCTAATTACAGGTTGAGTATTCCTTATTCGAAATGCCTGGGACCAGAAGCATTTCAAATTTTGGAATATTTGCATCATACCAGGTGAGCTGAGCATCCCTAATCCAAAAATCTAAAATCCAAAATGTTCCAATGATCATTTGCTTTCAGCGTCGTGTCGGCACTCAGAAAGTTTCTGATTTTGGAGCATTTTGAATTTCCCTGTCAAGCCCTTTTGTAAAGGCACTAATCCATTAATGAGCACAGGGCCCTCATAATCTAAACACCTCCCAAAATGCCCCACCTTCCAGTGCTATGGCATTAGAGAGTAAGTTTCCAACACATGAATTTTGGGGGACACATTCAGACCATAGTGCCCACACAATGATTCTTAAGGATAGTGCCTGGCACAAACTCAACATGCAACAAATAAAAATTTATTTATTATTGCAGTCTCATCATGCCTTATGGTGTTCAAAGCACCGATCACTTCATCTGTTCCTCACAACCAGATCTGGAAGGTGGGTTGGCAAGTAGCTGCATTTCACAGATAAGAGAGGGAAGGGACTGATCCAAGGTGGGTATAACAGAGAAAGGGCTTGTTCCCCGGACTCTCTTATCCCCAGTGTCAGGTGCTCAGCCACCACCCGACCAGGCTACTGTATCCTTTCAAAGACAGCAATGTTAACAGTCTGAGTCTTCTGGTGAAATAAAAGCCACATTCATCTATGACTTGCAGACAAACCCCATTCTGCCCACATCTGTGAGAGGATGGGTGGCCATCTACACAGGAAGGAATCCCCCTGAGATCCTGGTTTGACTTCAGAAGATGTCAAACCTGAAATTTTGCTTGGTTGGTTGTCAAATCAAATAGTTATGCCCTAAATCACCAGAGAGTTAGTAGTTCTCTTGAGATTCTTCCTTAAAAATAACCTGAAAATTTTGGCTGGCAAACCTGACACTAATCAGAATATATTCAAGAAGTCTGAAAGATACAGCCCATTTAGTTCTCTCCACAAACCAAGCTTTACCCTTACATGAAACCATATCATCAGAAGCTGTGCATCAGTACTTTGGCACTGTGTTCTGGGCTCACATATAAGGATGCCAGCTGTAAAAATCACTACTAATGTCTTTAAACAATTTGCCCATCATAGCGCATGGGGCCAATCACATGATTCCACAGAAAATATGTCAAGCTCCAGTGTTAAATAAAGCTATATTTGCCATAAATATCTAACTTTTTAAACTTTTGGATATTGTTAATCTTTTAACTTATCATATTCCCCCTGTGGCATTAGGAAATAGAACCAAAATTTTAGTCCAGCCCCACTGCCAAACAGCTGTGTACTTTTACGTAGCTCACATTTTGTTAGCTCTACCTTGCCCTTACCTCCTCCCTTCTTCAGTGATTTACTACTTTTATTTCTAATTGTTCTGGACGCATCTACATACACGGTTTCAAATCCTTTTTAAAAATTATGCTGGCAATAAAAAATACATATCAAAACTCTTGTCTTTCTGTACCCAGCATCCAGGACAGAGTCTAGGAAACTTTTTCAATAGATATTTGATACGGTCTTAATGTTAGTGTCCTTCCCAAACTCATGTGTTGAAGCCTAATCCCCAGTGTGACAGCATTAAGAGGTGGAGCCTTTGGGGAAGGAATTAAGTCAGAAGGGCTCTGCCCTCATGAATGGGATTTCTGCCCTCACAAACGAGGTTGAAGGCAGTGCTCTTGTCCCTTCCCGCCGCATGAGAGCACAGAGAGCAGCCCTCACAGACACTCAGTTGCTAGCGCCTTGATCTTGGACTTCTCAACCTCCAGAACCATGAGCACTAAATCTGTGATTATAAATTACCCAGTCTGTAGCAGCAAACTGAATGACTAAGACAGTATTTCTGCTGAACTGGAAGAATAAAATTTACTTGAAAAGTCAACATCTTAAATAGCTCCATCTAGATTTACCCAAAGACGTGTTCCTGAAAAGGTGGTCCATTTCAAAATTCTCAAAATAAAATGAAACTTAAAAGCAAT